GGTATTGTCTGCGGACTTACAACGCTAGAAACCGGGTTTCGATACCCGTGGTGGGCAGAGCACAGATAGCCCTTCTGTAGCTTTGTGCATAATTAAAAACAAACAAACCTAACGTTAGAGTTAGTAGTCTCCATAATATATCCATCTTATATCAGAAAGTATCTCTGTTTTCTTAATAAAATACGCAATAAAATATCTGTTAATGTTTCATTTACTAGCATTCAAAAATATGGTAACACTAGTTCCTTTTAATTGCTTTCCGTTAGTCGTGCTGCGTGGGTTTTTATTTGGGTCTGTAATTAACTGTTGACGAATTATATGTAATGCTTTTCCATTTTGAATAAAGGCCACCAGGATGTTATATTGTCAGGAAAATGAGGAAACATTATACAGTACGAAAGCTCATAATTGAAGACAAACAACGCAGAAATAATAATATTCGTTATATCTCACGTTTGTTTGAAAATACAAATATGTGTTTATTTATGGTAGTTTTGTGGCTTATACAAAGACTCAAAAAAAGAAGAAGGAGAAAACCCATTTTTTTAAGGTTCGTCCATATGAGCTGACGTATCTGAAATGGACGCCAGTGTTGAAGCAGAAGGAATAGCATGCACCACCCATTCGATCGATAACGAAACGTCCATAGGTTACTATTACTCTCCGAGGAAAGTAACACTACATGTTTATATATGTTCAGGTTATGGTGCTCTTATGATATAATGTAATAATATTTCTTCTGGAAAAAACAAATAATCATAGTTAGTTTTTCGAGTCACTGTAATTGAAACACTGAGCTATAAAAGCTAAAATTAATCTAACTACTCAATTAAAGTAGCCCAAAAGTTGGCGGTGAGTGCTATTGACTAGTTGCTTTCCCTCTAGTCTATCAGTTCAAACGTAAGGACAATGCAATCGGATTAGTCTGAAATATTCGTAAGCTTTCCTGAGGCAGACCATGTTTTATTTTGTTACATGCTATCTACAAGTTAAATATGTGTCCCGCTAGTATGGGTATATGTTAAGTAACTTCAAATTTTACTCACTCCCAGATTCTCACTAGTGACCCAACTGCAGATAGCCCTAATGTAGCTTTATGCGAATTGCTAAAAACATACATAGATTGAGAGCCATTGCTATTGGTGTTTTCAGAAATCTTTTGTAACCTTTAAAACAATTTGAAGTCATCAGTGATGATAGAAAACAACTTTATCGTGCCTTTGATTTCTGAAATGAAATGTTGTTATTACAGCCTCACAGCTGAAACTAATTAAACTCACTAGCAGAAATACCCACCCATCGGGCAGGTATAACTACTGGTTCCCGCGGTAGACTTTTGGGCCTGCGGACTTTTCTGGAATTATCTGACAGTTCTACAACAATGTACTCATATTTGACATTCAATAATGTTTTAATGAAATTTTAGTTTAAAAATGAGCTGTCATCACGGCATTACATCACAGAATATATTTTATTGAAGTATGGCACTTTCATAGACACAGATGTCAATGAAAGTGCCTTGGTTTTCTGTTGCAACACTCATGAGAGTTTCACTAAAGAAAAACAATTTTTTAATTTGATTTTTGATTGTTTTATATTTGAAACTTACCTCTTTTTTGTAATTTTTGTCGGTTAAATCTGAAACATAACATAGCTTGGAAATTTCAATTGTTTTATTTATTGCTCAGCTATAAAAATGCTGCCTAGTTATAAAAATATTACCCAGTTATGATTGGTGATGATCGGTGCGGTAGTTTGGGAGATCAGAGTATTGGACGTATACATCGCAAGCTGCATTATAATAAAGATTCATCCCACTATACTTAACCCTTGCACAAAAACAAATATTTCTCATAAGAGGTAGAAATAAGTCGAACTTTTACGCCACATAATAATCATATAACCATAAACTACGGTAAATTGGCTAGTACCTTCCATAGTTAGAAATTACAGAAATAGGTAATATATTTTGTACAGTACAGTAGCAATAAAAAAACCATAAACTTGGTAGTACCTTCCATAGTTGGAAATTACAGAAATAGGTAATATATTTTGTACAGTACAATAGCAGTAATAAAACCATAAACTTGGTAGTACCTTCCATAGTTGGAAATTACAGAAATAGGTAATATATTTTGTACAGTACAATAGCAGTAATAA